GATTTATAAAACCTATATCTTAAAATTCTAAACCCTAAAAAATGTTTTGATCCCTAAAACCCCCTAAACCCTCATAATTAAACCCTAATAGAACATAATTAACCCAAATATAAATAATATAAAGAAAAAATAATTTTGAAAAAGTGGTATTTTTGTAAAGATTTCAAAAATATAGCATTTTTGTAAAGTGACACTTGAAAAGTGGTAAATTTTGAAAATTTTTAAGAATAATTAAATATACAAAGTGTTTACAACGAAAAGAGTTATTGAAATGAGTTGAAGTCAATTCTCATATATAAAAAGACGAATTATTGCTTTTCCTCCAAGCAAAGTTTCCAATTCTTTTATCCTGAATAAATTGCACATCTCCAAAAAGAAAAATCTTGCATTTTATGAGTCAAACGTCTTTTTTTTTTTTTGGTCGGCAACATATTCATTACTTAAAGTTTTTACAGTGTTTAAACTTACATATTACATAGCCAAGTTATTACATATTTTGAGTCAAACGTCTTTTTAATCCATGACTTTTCTAATTTCTTTTTTTTAGCTCAAAGCATTTCTCTTTATTGAACAAAAATGAAAGGTATCCCCTTACCTAAGCTATTGGGCTTTGAAAAATGACAGATCCAATCATGTTTTACATGTAAAAGCCCGTCTACACTTGAACATTGTGAAACAAAAAGTGGTTCGTTTCTTTAATAAATTTAGCCTCAATTGTTTGTGTAATTTAAAATTTTATTGAGATTATGTCACAAATGTTATTAGTGCTATACGCAAAAGATAATCACAAATGAAAGGGACGAAATTTTGCGAAAAGTGATGTGCTCATGCCAATATTGGAGCATATTTATTTTTATGTTAATATTGTGATAATTCCAAATGTATTTATGAACATTTCCTTATCAGTGTTTCTCAAAAAAAAAAAAACATTTCCTTATCATAATCTAGGACACAGTGTATAAATACATATATAATATGGAATAAATCAAGTTAGTTCGCTATTTTCACATGATATC